GATATGATAAGTATGTTCAAAGTCAATAAGGACATGTAAGATCTTCATGACACTACGGATGACAAAATTGGCATTTAGACACTACACTTCACAACTACAGCTCACGTAAAGACAGACAGAATGCTCAAGTTATATCTCATTTCTGATCTAAAAATAAGCTGAATTCTTTCAAAAGACTGCATTCCTTAAAAATGTCCTCTACATGACATATAACTATAATTTAATGAGTTGTCAATATTAATGTAAGATCTGGATATACCAACCTGTCGTCAAAACACTCTAAGGAAATGAGCAGAGTTTGAAATGATATACAACCAAACAACGTGTTTAGAAACCTGTAAGTCTGTTCATAGCAATCTGTAGAGGGATTTTTTATCATTTTAATCATTATATGTGTTAGCAGAAAAGAAATAATCAAGCTCAGTAATGTTAACTCTAACATCAGGTTAGATGTTAATAATCTACTAGTGATGTTAACTAAGTGTCTACTAATATAAGAAATGTGAGTTTATTTTTTTAAGCCAAAATCAGTAAAATACAAAATAAGAGAAAAGACCAAAGGCTGTTCTTAGTAAACATCAATAACACTGGGAACTATCCAGGAAGAATGACAAGCAAAGCCAAGAGTATGGTCTACAACCCCAGCACTGGAAAGCTGAGTTGTTTCAATTTCAAGTCTCTGGGTTACATATCTTGGTCATTCCCAAGGTATGTGACACATCCCTTCAAATAACTGGTCATGTGGCCAGTTCCAGGGGCTCCAAAAACCAATGCAGAGTATTGGCATTGCTCTTCCATATCCATAAGAACTTGATGATAAGACAATTGTTGCTGAAGACACCACGATTTTATAAGGACTTAGATAACCCAAGCTAATCCTGATTGACAGCTTCCCCCTGCTTGCTGGCTCTCACTATACTGGAAGATGGTATTCAGACTACAGGAGAAGGAAAGTCATCATCAATCTCTAAATCTGTGAATCCTACAAACCACAATTCTGGTCTGGCAAGATACACCTATGAATGCAATAATGGTGTGAATGTTATAAACGTAACCAATTGCTTTTTATTATTGGCTTTAAGACTTAGTCCATTGGAGGGAATTCAAGGCTAGTACTGTATATCTGGCCAAGAACCTGCACTTGGGGAGCTCTAGGAGTGATTCTGCTACTATTTTGCTAAATAGATATCCTATCAAGCTTCCTTGTAAACACTTCTTTCTTTGCCCGTAGATTACTGCAGTTCTCACTCCTCACCTGAGAAGTGAATTCATAATGAATCCAAAAGTTACTGAACTTTTAAAGAGTAAAGATGGAAACCTATCCATGTGGCATCAAAGGCCATTTGCTGTTTAAGTTGTCTTTGCTTCCTATTTTTCTAAGTATGATACCTAAGCAACAAGCCGAAAAGAAATAGGGAAGACCGTCTCCCCCACATCAGCCACAAATCTTGGTGTTTGTAAAAGAGAAGGACTAAGTGTCCATTGCACAAAGGAGATGGATAGTTGCAGAGGATGAAAATAGTGAGGCATTCATGGATAATAAAGTGCAGGAATATCAAAACCTTTCCATAGCCAACGCAACAGTAATACTTAGACCTCAACTGTCTATCACTTGGTTTATGCATAGCAGGCCTGTATTGGCCATCTACCTTACTGTTTCCACCTCAGAGTCATCTTTGATCCATGTCTATATTCTTTTCTCACTTCTGCTTATCTAGAGCCAGTTCTTTCCAGGTTGTCCCATTGCTTCAGGACATCGTTTTGTTTGAAGTTCCTTTTTTAATATGATGGCTCTGCTTTTATCAGATAAACCTAGAATTAAATGCTAAATGTGAAAGACAAATGGATTCCACTTTAGTCCCGTATGAGACTAAAAAAATAACGAAGAAGATAGACAGCAAAACACCTATAACACAGTGGCCCTTCTCAAATATTTAGTTTAGTTCGTACAAGCTTATTTTAGAAACACAAAATAGAGCCAATATATTTTTCGTTCTTCCCAAACAAATGAGTGAGCAGCATTTATCCATCGTGTCCTCATTCTTTACATCACACATTTATCCCTTCAGGAGATAAGGGATAATAGGAGGAATAATATGAAAGTAATAGGAGGAATGACAAGAGATTTTTTTGACAGAAAGATCTGGAAGAATTTTAACTCTTCCATATTAGAGAAGTTATTTAATCTTCATAAGCTCTGTTAATCTTACTTTCAAGTTGGTAATGGTAAACTGTAGAATTTTAAAACTGATTTATAAATATTTTTGTTCACATATATAATGCATTTGAGGGTTTTGTACATACATACAAGTGGCATTATAATGCAGAGCACAGAGGTTGGCACAGGCAAGCACTGAAAAGCCAATTTTTCAGTTGGCTCCTGTATTAAAGTTGTTCACAAAGTCTTGCCCTCAATCACGAGGCCTACTGTTCTCTGTTTCATTTGGCTCCTAGGAGTTATTGATATGTTGAGGGAGAAGATTTAAACGACCACCTCCCATATTAATAAAAGTCATCATATTTGCCAAGTGCTGTCCTTGATTATCTATTTAGAAAGAAAACACAGTATCCGAGGCTATCATTATACATCATTGTAGCAGTCACTTCAAGAAACAAGTATTGCTTTATTTTCTAGAACTTGAGGGAAAAACGTTCTGTAGAAAATATTTACGTATCAAAGAAAATACAATGGACTGAACACAAAGCCATTTATATAAGAACATCAAATGCTTTATAATGGACATTGTGTATTTTTTCAAATAGCTTTATTTCAGAAAAACATAATATTTAGGAAGTTAGCTAATAAACTAAAAGCTCACTTTATTTCATATCAGCAGCTGAACTAAACACTCCAAAAAAGGAGAAAAACTCTCAAATAAGGGAAGTATAAAATGAACCTTGCCTCATGACTCATCCTTTGTAAATGTAAGTTAAGAAATATAATGTTTAGAATGATGGGATAGCTTATTCTTTAAAAGGAATAAGGTAATATCCAGTACTTCTCATGTTGCATCCTTGTGTGTCAACATTACATGAAATATGATTCTAGCTTAGAAAAATGGATCCTGAAAGAGTAATTGCTGCTTAAGAAAATCCTTAGTTACATTTATCCTCTGAGTTATTACATAATTTTAAAAATATGAAAATGATAGAAGTCACTATAGCAAGAATCTATTAAAATGAATTGTGTGTTCTTGGATTAAGTCCACTTTTCACAAGTCTAACATAATCACAATAGCTTTGGGGATGTTATATATTAAATTCCAAAGACATAATTTGGTGAATTAAAACATACCATAAATATGAAAGCACCTGTATCTAATCAGAAAATTAATTCGATGTTACCTAATTTTTACATTAATTTGCCATTAGAGTTTTCATTGAAATACACCTTTGACAATACCTAGTATATATCTAGTGGACATACACATGATAATTTAAAATATGTTCTAAAGCACTAACTCCATACAGTTCTGTTATATTTAATTACCTTTCTGAGCAGTCTAAGCAACACATAAAAATAGTATCAACATACAGTAGGAATCTTATTTGTCATTTGACTGAAAGATTTTAGAGCATCAACTTTAAATTCTAATGTACATAATTCTTTTTCATTTTTTTAAAAAATGGAAAACCATCAATTTAGGGGTCATAACATGGTATTTTGATATAAATCTGCACAGTGAAGTATGGCAACCCAATTTTTAAGACAACTGCTAATATATACTTATCATCAAATATTATTAATTGAGCTAGTTGGGTCTTAGCAAACACCTCCAGAATGGGAAATTACCATAAGCTAATAGACCTTGATTGCAACAGTCTTTATTGTCTGTCCACACTCGTTTTGCACAAGGTGGTATAATAAAAAGCTAACTCACAAACAGAAATATCCGATGTCACACAAAGGGCCCACTATTCCCAGCCCCAAATCAATTTTTCAATAACTCTTAATGTAATTTGAGGTCTTCCATTATATAATACTCCAGAAAACAATTAAATTCTATAGTGTTTTCATTTAACCATCCAGTTAGGATTCCTTAATATATACATAAAACTCATAAAATTAATTAAAAGTAAATGAAAGCAGATGAAAGCAGTCCTTGACTCATGAGGAAACCACGGGAAACGTTTGAGACTGGATAGTCAAATATTTATGTTGCTGAGTTTGCCAACAGAGGTGGATTCTGAAGGGAAGCAACACATTCCAAATGGATCGCTTTCTTATCTTCTCATCCCATTCATAAAACGCCCTTCTGTTATGCAATGGGACCATTTATCTTGGTCAATAAACATAGACTTATGTTTAGCTCTAACCAGTTGTACATAGGGAGGAGAAACAAAACTAGTCTTTACTTAAAAGCATAACTTAGGTGACTTTTCATTTCTGAAGGAAGTAAACCCGAAGGATGTGTGATTAAAATGTGGAATCCGGTGGTACAGTGAATGGCCACCTCACCGCAGGATTGTTGGGGAAGAGGGTCCTCGAAACTGATCCAGCCAGTTAATTAGACATAGATCAAGGATGGCATAGCTCTGAGATAACTGTAAATGTTTTTGCTCTTTATCTCTGATACTAAGACTCTAATCTCTTTATCTTTTTCTTTTCCTTTCTTCCTTCCTTTCTCTCTTTCTTTCTTTCCTTCACTCATTCTTTAGACGACTTTGGGGGATACTGGCACTGACTTTTCTTTCTTAATGTCTTTAACCACGCTGAATTCGCTCTACCCAGTCCCGATGGAGAACTCTCAGTAAATTCATGTGACTGAAAATTCTCCAGTTCACACCGCTATCACTAATCCAGAAGCCAAGACCATCAAAGCCAATAAGAGATGGGCTGTCCTCACTTTGTTACCTCGGGTTTTCATTTTCCACACTCAGCCTCCTTAGGGACCACGGAAAGAAAAATGAACGACCCTATCTATCTTTCATCAAGTCCCCTGAGCGACTGGAGAAACCCTCTCAGTTTCTCCGAGACCATTCTTTCTTTGTAGACCCACCTGCATGGGCGCCTCGTGTCTCATTGTAGGCAAATGTCCTTTCTCTCTGGCTAGGACAGCGCTGGTGCGGGAGCCGGGTCAAGCGTGCACAGCCTGCGCGCTCCCTGCAACACTCTGCAAGCCTGGGGCTCTGTAGCCCGATCCAACATCAGCACCGGAGCTGTCCGCTCCTGACTCCGCACGAGCGTTCTGGCCATGAACCCCGTGAGCTTCTGGGAGTTGTAGTCTAATCTTAAGAGGCAACTGCTCACATGGGAAAATTGTGAACTACAACTCCCAGAGACCCAGCAGGTTTCCCTCGGGCTAGCCCCTCCAGCGGCACTGGGCGGTGGAAACCTCCCTTCTTTCGATTTACTCGGTTGTTATCCTTTTCAGCTTACCATTCCCTCAAAGAGCACTATCAAAAATAATACCAGTTCAACCCTAACAAGGACTTTCTTTTCACAGGATTGCTTTTGGAAGCCAAGACTGTATCTCTCTGGCTAGAAAATACAGCACTTTGTTCTGATTTCCAATACAAATGGGCTTTACCTTACCTCTATCCTGAACCCGGAAAGTTTATACGTACCCGGAGTGGAGTAGTTGTACAGTCTTATTCAACAATCACGCGGGAAAACGGCGATGGATGGCACACTCATAAGAAAAGCGTTTTATCCGCAAGACTGAATTGAGAAGATCGGCACGCAAGCAAGCGCGATCATACACACACACACACACACACACACACACACACGTCCACAAAAACCAGATTTCTGACTGAGCCTGCCAGACACTCTTTTCTGTTTACCTTTCCATACAGCTCCATTGCAGCCGGAGGTTCGGAGAGCCTCCCCACTACAAAGGAAGTGAAGGTCTTATGCAGGCAGCAGAGCACAATGGAAACGCTTGGAGGAGCAGTTTGTGGAGAGCAAATGAGGAGTGAAGGGGACAGCAGGTTTAGATGGGAGGCTTTCTTTTAGAGGGAAATCCAGAAGTCTTCTAGTGACAGCTGTAAAGAAAGGGCTGTGAGTCTCCTAGGAAGTGCCAGGGGCACCCGCGCCAGGCAGCCCCTCCCTTAGCCCTCCCAGCACACACACCACCTGAGGGCTGCAGAGCTGATAGGGCGCTGGGTTATTTACCCAAAGCAAGTCACACAAAATGAACACATTCATCACCAGAGCCCAGGAGCACCTTCACGGAATGAGCGGGGAGACCTCGATTGAGTTAGCCGGTCCTTTCTGAAACGTGTAGTTCTTCCTTTATATCGCAATCACTCTCGGTTCATAGCACGATCTTCAAGTCTCTGAACTGGACATTTATGTTCTTTTGTCAACTTCTAATGTATGAGAGGACTTGTGTCGTCCGTCGCTGAGATAAGTCTTCTCCTCTTCAGAATGCAAGCTCATATCTATCTGTGAACTCCATCTTTCTGTGATGTCAGATTTATGACACCAAGAGGCAGAGTAAAAGATGAAACCCTCATGATATTCACATACAGTCATGCAAAGGTTAGAGTCAGCTTTAAACGTCGTCTCCTTAGACAGATCAGCAGAAAGGACATTATGGAACTTAAATGTGCTGGAAACATCTCTTGGGAGTAAAAATTATTCTTCAGATTCCCAGGTCCCATCCCATGCCATATTCTACCAGCAAAAGATCTGGGGATCTACATTTCCAATACCTCCCCTAGCAGTTCTTATGCAAGTAATTCTTTGCTAAAAAAAAAAAAAAAACTACTGTTTTTAAATGATTTCTACAAAACATTTTTTCCAAAGAAACAAACCTCAGAATTTCCCTCTAAATTCTGTATATGCAACAACGATGCAGTATATATCTGATATATTAACACATGCGCGCGCGCGCACACACACACACACACACACACTGGCTGCTATCTTTCCTATTTCACATCAGCTCTGTTGTTTAATCTCTCTGTTAAAAGGAGCCAAGAGCTAAGCCAATAGTAATGGTGCTATTGGTTGTGTAAGAAATTATATTTTATTAACACTGCTTTCATGACATCCCGGCTAAGACTCACTGAGGCTTGGAAGAAGGATCAAGGAACTTCTTTAGGACTCACTACGTCCCTGGAGTCTGATTCGAATCTACAGTCCAATGCCATACCTGAGCGTCTAACCTCAAACATGATTGGAACCATATATAACCGAGCGGGAGATTTTTCTGCCTGGATGCTATTACCTCTGCCTGACCAGGCCATGTGAGCTAGCTTTGATTTCAACCTATGAAGCATCCACACAACAAAATGCTATTGATTCTCTCATGTTTCCTTTAGAAGAAGTTAAATATCCCCATGGCACTATTGATTTATTCAAAATTAAAAGGAAAATTATTTTAACTCATTCCTGCTCATGAAGTTTTCAACATTATACATAATCTATATAAGATGCCCTTGAAGCAAATATAAAATCAATGTTGATTTCTTTCCATAGCATAGATACTATTCACAACTGCTACCCTTTTAAGAATGCCAACGCTTTAGTAGCATTGTGGCAGGCACTTTGTCTATATTATTCCATTTAATTGTCAATAAGTTTGAAAGGAAACATTACAATCTCATTTTACACTCAAGAGAAGATATGGATTTTGTTTAAAGACACTGACTAGAATGATTTGGTCCAGGGTTTAAAGCTCAGTTTTAACTGATTCTAAACCAAAATCTCAAACATAGTTTTTATCAGAAGAGTTAATATTTTAAAATACCACATTTCACAATCTCTTAGAAATTTTGCTGGGCTTCGGTCTCGGTTGGTTGGGATCAAGGATGAGATTATAACGCTGTTATGAAATTGTATGGTTACTTAAAGCTTTAAAAAATTCTATATTTTAAATAACTTTTTATGATTTATTTATGTTTATTTTACATACGTTGATGTTCTGCCTGATTGCGTGTCTGTATGTAGGTGTCAGATGCTCTGGAACTAGAATTACAGACAGCTGTGACCTGCTTTGTGGGAACTGAATGCAGGTTCTTTGGAAGCTCAGCCAGTGCTCTTAGCCACTGAGCCATCTCTCCAGTCCCTACTTAGAACTTTTAATGTATATTTTTTCAATTTGAAAATGTTGCAATCAGTTAATTTTGATAGTCAATGTGATTGGATTTGTCCAGGAAGGGTGTTTCCAGACAGGTTTGACCAAAGAGGATGACCCATTCTGAAAGGGAAAGGTACCACCCATGGGTTGAAGTTATGGACTAAAAACTAGGTTGAAAAGGAGAAATACAGCTAGTTCTGCCTCTCTTCCTGATTACTGCCATGCCTTACCCACCGTAACATCTCCTTCTGAGAGCTCCAGTAAACCTTCCTCTCTCAAGTTGCTTTTCTCGAATATTTGACCACAGTGGCAAAAGGAAGCAACTATCAATCAATCCTTTCTGTCAATGTCAACCCATTTGATCTTCTGGGAATATTTGATGGAACTTTGTATCAAATGCAGATCATTGGCTAAGCATCCAGCAATAACTATATTTCCAGCTCATAAAAAAAAAGTGAACAAAACATTATAAGAAAATCAAAGGAGTACTAAAAATTAATGCCCGATTTTCACACCAAGTGCTTACTCAGTAGGAGGGTTTAGATCCCATCATTGGAGGAGCACTGTGTGGCCCACATCTTTATTAGTCCTTAAGATACCTCCACCAGAGATTTATTATTATCTTTAAAACCTATTGCTCTCATAATCTTATAAATCCCTTATGTGTGTTGAGAAGTTTTGTTATTAAGAACTGACTTAACTGTGTAAACTTCAGATGCTAACCTTTCCTGCAGACTTTGATCTGATGACAGATAGGCAACTCAATAATCAGTCTCTCAGGGGAGAGCAGCCCTAAGAAGAATATTCTAGAAGACTTGACACAGGATACGCTTGGTGGAGGAAGAAGGAATGGCATGCTGCTGGCTGCCATCCAGAATACTTGTGACAGGCAGCCTGCATGCCTTCAGGAGGATGAGAGCCTAGGGTTGTCTATTTATAATCTAAGTCAAGCTTTCCCCTCAGAATCAAGTCCAGGTAAAACCAAAATATGATTCCTGATAGATATAACTGTTCTGAAATTCTGTAGAATTAACAAAAACACAGAATAGTACACTAGGAAGAATGTGGTAGATTAGATAACCCAACCCTTTAATCCATAAAGATAAGGAATTAGATTCCTAAAATCTACAATGACCATTAATGATGACCAATGGTCATCTTATGCCATTAGGTACATTAGGGAAGATATACAGATTTAATATACAACATCACTGTCTTGTGGTTAACATGTGTTTGCTTTCTCACAACTTACCACACTTTCACTTTAAAATTATGCAATACCACTCACTGGATAAAACCTCAAAACCATGTTTAAAGGAATATAGCTCTCCTTTGCTGGCTGTGAAACAAGAGTTGCTAAAGTATAATACTTTTTCCTTTCAATAAGGGCTGAAGACATTTTCAATTTTATTATGAGTTTACATACTAATTCAGCTACAGAATACATGGTTACACTTTGAGTTACACTTAACCTAGCTGCCCACATATTAAGATAATCATATTGTCCACTGTTGACTAATTTGGCAAGAATTAACTCTTCTTCCTTTCTGGATTTTATAAGAACCTACAAATTGGCAAGGTAGAAAATGGTGGATCCAGGGTACTCTCTATATGCTTGGCAATTCCTGATCAGGTGTGGTCCATCCATCTAGCCACAGGTAGCTCCACTCTTTCTATGCTAAGCTAAGCCACAAAGATCCTGAGCCAGCTTTGGAATAGAAATGTTTAGTCTGTGCTATCTTAAGTCTTGAAGGAATGTTTGGTCTTGGACTTTTGAAGACTGTTGAAATAATTATATGTATTACATCTTTCAGTATTGCATGGAGTAATATAGCATTGTGTGTTACAATTTGAACAGAAGGCTATCGTGAGCCAGGGGAGTGTTGTGAATTAGATATGAAACATCTCCCAAAGGAATGAATGTGTTGAAACTTCATCCCAGCTGGTGGTGCTATTGAGAGGCCACAGACTAGAAGAGCAGCAGCCTTATCAATGTGTCATTAGGAGGAAGAGGAAGTGGGTTTCTGAGAACATTGTCTTCGAAGGAAACAACTTAACTTGGCCCTGCCCTTTTCTGT